ACGTGGCCAAAGTTGCCAAGGACGTCTAAGCAAATCACGAGCTTCCCCTTGAGCCGCCCGTCCTGCTGCACATACGAGGCACCTCCGCGATACTGAAATTCGAAGGAGAAGCCGATATTGGGTGCACTCATCGGATAGTCACAGGGAAAGTCGATCAAGAAGTGGAGTGGGACTGTGACACAGCCAAGATGTGTCACTTCCATCTGCGTCCCGATCACGCCATTCCACAGGCTCAAGTCAGCATCCGAGCACGGTGCTGCTGCCGCCAAAGGAATGGGCTCTTCTTGAAGACCCTTGAGGTCGGCCAAGATGCGTCGACGTGCGGCTTGGCTCAGTGGAGCCGCGGAAGACATGGCGATCTGTGTGGCGTGAACACGTAGACGTTCTGTGCAACTGCGTGAGCATGCAAAGGGCGCTCCAGCCAGGACTGTTCGGCACGGCAACAGTCCAACAGATCAGGAAGCACGCACCGGTCCAAGCAACATGCCATGTTGCACCCAGCCTCAACGGCCGCGTTGCACTCGCCTCAGCAGCCACGGCACCGACGAAAGCCCAGTCGTTCAGCGTGCTGCTCCAAACCCTGGCAGCGTGTCAGGATGCGTTAGGGCGTCCCGAGAGTCCCCGTTGAAAGCTTCCCCCGGCCCCTGCCTGTCGAAGCGCTCTCCGCTGATGGGACAAACCTGAACCACATAGGCACAGCTAGGCGGCGATGGAAGGGAGTTTGCATTTTGCTTTGCCGGGCAGTCGGCAGAGCGACGCTCATCACACGGAACCTGTCGAAGGGACGAAACGCAAAATACCCCAAGCTTGCTGCCATGATTCAGATTGCTAGGAATGTCGGACGAACTGAAAGTGTGTGCAACTCAGATGCTGAATGCGAACCACCACAAACAAGGCTGCCTCCCAGCGCTCTTCGGGCAACTCGTCCAAAGCGGGGGCCTCGACCGGGGCCGCCTGAACAAGGAAACGAGCGTGACTGGAACGCGCACGACATGCTGCAGCACGGAATAGCAGCAGCATCAGCGGCGACCAGTACTATAACAGCATCATCGCCGTCCTCGTTGCAATCATCACCGTCACCACTACCATGACATGATGATGATGATGATGATGATGATGATGATGGACATCATCATCATCATCATCATCATCATGATTCATCATGATCAGCAGCATCATCATCATTGACATCTTCATCTTCATCCTCATTCTCATCCTCCTGGTGGTGGTGGTGGTGGTGGTGGTGGTGGCGGCAGCAGGAGCTGCTTTTGCTGTTGCTGCTGAGGCCGTTGGTGCTTCTGGCTCTGCTGGGTGATGCTGTTGCCGGTACTGCTGGGGCTGCAGGGTGATGCTGGTGGTGCCAGGGGCCCAGTTAGTCACCAACCCAAGAAAAATGCAGTGGGTGTGCTCAGGAGCCTTGCGGTCAGGAGCCTTGCCGACATCACCCCCAAGCCGGAACAGCGCAGGGCCCACAACGAGGTCGCCTTGAGCTTTGAGCTACGCAGGAATCCGAGAGTTCGGGGACGGGCACTCCGAAGAACATGCACGCAAACCAAAGCTGACTGCTGCAAGCATGCCAAGTATGCATACTCAGTGAAACGATGGTTCCGATGTGCAATGCTTTCATGCAAGATCGTCTTGACGGTACAACCGGCTTTTGCCTACCGTTAGTCCAGACTACGTGAGATCTCTCCATCAGCACAGCGCTGATCGATGCTTTGCATGTTGCAGCCCGGCGGCGGTTGCCGACCCAGTCTGGGATGGAATCCATCCAGCCTCTGGCCTCGGAGTTCATCTGCCTGGCCACGAGGCCCAGTACTTTCAGAGTCCAGGCGGGAAGAGCCCTCCGAGACGGATAGTGCAGCCGACCTAGCTTCCTCCCACCCTTTCCGAAGGGCCTGAGCTCCTTCCGCTTCTTGAGGCTTTCGTTCTGCCGTCGCAGTTTCTCGCGGTTGGCGAAGCGGAGTCCTCTGCAAAGTCGCTGAGAAGAGAACTCAGCTACCCGCTGCACCGTCCTGTCGTGCCACACTGAAAGGGCAGCCCGTCAAAGACCCACTTCAGCATCACCTTGGAGACTGGAACACGGAACAAGCCGGCCTCCTGCCTTCACGCAGAAAGCACCCCCTTTCAAATATCCCCCCTGCGGCCAGATAACATCAACGGCAAGGTCGACCTGCAAGTAGCCTCCCGGAGCAACATGTCGCAGCTTGCGCTTACACTTCCGACAGGGGCTGTCAAGCTTAGCCGAAACTTGTTGACGGAGCCGTGGTGATGACTCAGCCAAGAAGCTGAAGCTGTGTGAGACCCGCTGGGCCAGGTCCACAGAGCGGCCAGTGGACCGGAGTTTCTCCTCGCCGCTGTCAGGCATTCGACTCACAAGACCTGAACAAATCGCATGATCCTCCAGCATAAACACAAACTGCATCAGCAGCAGCATCTCACCTGGGTTAGAAGGGCTGTGGCCATGATCGAGGCAAGAAACTCAGACCTTGCAGACACGTCGCCGGGAGACATTGCATCTACATAGACCATTTGCTCGCCAGCAGCACCCAGGATTTTTCGTCCGACCTGGGCAGTCTTGGCAACAGAGCTCGAGTTGTGGATGCAGCTGTTTTTAGCTGGGGGAGAATCATTGCCCTGCACGGACCACTGGTACAGAAGTAGCACTGTGTAGCACTTGGACTCCACTCGGGAACTCAAAACAAAACCTCTCAGCCCTGGCTGGCTGCCGCCGTCGTTCTCTGGCCTCGCCTTTCCTTAGGGTTCACCCGAAAATCACTGTTCAATCTGCTTGTGGTGCCCTGGCCCGGAAGCCGAATTCTCCGAGCATCCGAGGCATCTGGGACATGAATTGCCGAAGCCAGGCCTGCCAAAGGGAAGCAGAGAAAGCAAACCATGTTGGAGAACCGGGGCATCCAAGTTACAAGTGTAACAACAAGCACATCTCAATATTCTTACTTCTCCCGCCCGGACCTCCGAGAAGCCCAGCGAGGGCATGCCCTGCAAAAACTGCCTTGCACGATGTGGGGTCATTCAGGGCAATTCAGGGGTGTTGCGGCGTCTCTCTATGCCACGAAGGCTTTAAAGGCAGTCAATCCAAGACCAACTGCGATCCGCTGTACTGAGTCGAAACAGCCCTGCGTGCGGCTCTCGTTGTCCATGCAAACCGCACCACCAGGCCTGGTTGGGACCAGCGGCATGTCCTCATCGTCGGGTATCTTTTCCACCTGCGAAGGCCGGCCAGGGCCGCTGCCGAATTTGCTGCCAAAAAATTCCCCCACCTCAGCCTCATCGTCGCTGACGACGGTGGTGAGATCAACATCACCCTCCACTTTCACACGTTTCTTGGCCGGCTCTGATGCGGTCTCCTTGGAAGTTTCCGCATCCTGCGCAACAAGGAAGCAGCTTTACAGGCTCACACGCTCCCGACCGCAGGCCTGGCGCCGTGGATCTGGAGGCCGCGCGGGGCCTTTGCCCTGCCGGATGCGCAAGTGAAGTGCACGCCGAAGGCCGAAGCGCGGGTCCCGAAGCGCTACAGATTCATGGATCACCACGATAGCGTATGAAAGCCCGTCACACTGCGACGAGAAACACCCTCCACAAGTATTGGCTCCCTTTTCCGGCCTCCGCAGCATGCCTCGGATCTTGAGGCCTCAAAAGTGGCATGCGCAACCGCCATGCCGTACTCTCACATCCCGATGCCATAAGACGGCAGTTTTCCAATTCTAACCACCGACACAGCGCAGCATCAAAATAGGTGCCGCACTTCTTGTCCTGCAGTCGCGGGTCCTGCGCCCAACAGATTCACTAGGGTGAGCTGTGAACTTGTTTGCGATGAGGAAGTCTCCAACACGGGCACATCCCACTTCGAATGATGCTGCTTGCGCTCGCCGAGCACTTCTAAACAGAGCTGCTGTTTCTCCCTCTTCTCCTTGGCATCGCTGCGCTTCTGCTCACTTCGAAGCCGCGGGTCCTAAGCAGGCTCTGCTAGATCATCGCACCCGGACACTGCCATGCTGCCCCCCATATGTCATTAAATGCTCCGAACATCTAGACGCTTCACCAGACTTCAGCCCAAGCACACGCTCTGATAGGATCTTTTGGTGCCTGGGCGATGCATCGAGAACTCAGAGGACATTTAGACCACAACCTCAGTGTGCAGGCCTTCGCTCCAGCTCCTGCAAGCGCAGAAGGTCGGGTTGGGATCCGAACAACACGCCCCTTGCCACGAGACTAAAGCACAGGGTGGAAGCTCTAGTCCAGACTAGAGGAGTAAGCCACCATGCACCAATGCAGATCGGAAGATTACGTTGACCAAACCCCAGCTGCCAGCACCATGCCGGACCTGCTTGAACTGGGACAGCATGGCCATTGCCTCCACACTACAACAGGAAGCAACATGCATGCAGTATCGAGCAGGGCATGGTGCAAGGAGCCAAATTACGCTGTACAAGCTGTATGGAACGACAAAAGACAGCCCTTTCCGCCATCCTGCCTCCTGCCGCTGATTCTTCTGCTGCATAGCCTCGATAAGATCCGTGGATGTATGTCTTCCAGGTGCATGTATGGGACGAAGCAAACATCACAAAGCGCTTGCCAATCCCACTGAACACTTGCGGCACGGGGCAATTGCTGAAGCTGTCAAGCTGGCGAACCGGAGTTGTCTAATACTGTACTTGAAGTGCGACTTCAGTGAAATGGTGTACACGTCGCTGTGGCTCGCACGATGGCCTTTCGAATCTCGGGCACCTCTCGTGCGAGGACTAAGGCGAGCAAGGTTGCTTCAGACCAAACTTCTAGCTACTTGCTCAGGCAGTCTTCTGCAAAAGCTTATGGAAAAAGATGACAGCCCATGAATCTGGGAACGAGGGCCGCGTGGCCTGATGCACCTAACCTTAGCCCAAGTTGAATTCAGCTACATGAAATCCTCAACTCTCAACTCCGCAAGCCCTGCAAGCCTTGATCTAGCCCTGATCTAAGGTAAACCTTCCAGCTCTGATGGCCCGGAACCTTCATGATCTCTTGCAGTTCATCGGGCTTTGGCGGCTTGCGCCTCAAAGCACAGCGCAGTTGGAGAGCGCTTAATTGTGCAGCCTGTTGGTGTCCATAGCTTGCCGGAGCACTCGATGATCTTCGTCAAGATCTGGAGGCGTCGTTCCACTACCTCGTCTGACTCCAGTGCCATGGAGGCCTTAGAAGCTTCGACGTGTGACTATATAATCTCCCATACAATCTCACTCCAAGCCAAGAACCAGTGATGACGGGGCATCCACCTCTTCAAGTTCTTCTTGTATGATTCAGAACTAGCTGCTGTCACTCCTACTCACCCCAGTCTGAAAATGTCTGTGCCCTCATCAGACCAGAAGAGCATGAAACTGCCGCACCGCCTGCTGTGCTGCGGTCGGTGCTTGTGGCACTGCCTGCAGAACAGCTGACCCCGCAACCGGGACGGCACCCGGCGTAGTGGACGTGAAACCATGTTGCGCCTGCGCCGCCACAGGCACAGGCGGAGGCACAGCCTGCAACTCCGTGCAGCCCCTTTCCCACCGCAATTGGCTAGGAGACTGGTTTATTGGGCCGCTCTGTTTTTTTGCTTCTCCGATGCTTATCCACGAGAACGGGGCACATGGCAGATCCTGGCGTTTCCAATGAACGATCTTTCTCTTGGCTTCGGAGACACACTGGCAATGTTGAATGGTCCATCTCATCAGGGTTCATCAGTAGGATCAGGGCAGGTCAAGTTCGCGGCAGTGCACAGGCACCGAGCAAAAGAAAGCACGGCACTGATGGAGACTTCCAAGTGAACATCCCAAGACTGCCCTCCAAACCGCCCACGGAACCTGCACAGGAGGCTGGAACCTGGCATCGCAAAGCAAGTAGGGCACTGCAAGGGCTGAAATGTGTCTCGGCTCCCGGCGTGACTGCTGCCTGCAGAAGCTCAACAGATGTCCAATGCAGAGTTACGAGTCGGGATCTTCTTGAAACAGTCTTCTACGGGTTCCTTCCGATTCCAAGATGCAGGATACGATGTCGTTGCAGCTCACCGCCGGAAGCGTTGTCGTGGGGGTCAATATTACTAGCCTGCCTCGATGATCGCTTTGAGAACGGCTTTGTCTGCAATTTGAGTCGCAGCTTGGATACGGTCTGGCTGCGCTTTGCGTTTCAGCTGGGGCAGCTTATGCCCCTCAACCGCTCCAGTCGAAACGGGAGAGAATTTTAAATCAGCAAGGTCTTGGAATGAAGTCGGGATCAAGCTTTAGCCCAGCGAAACTAAAATCCATCACAAGAACCAATGAAAGCTTTTACTGTAGCTACGACTAGCATCATAGTTATCTACGTTGGCCTGCCATGGATAAATCAAGACTGTGCAAAGGCCTAGACATGTGAAGATCAGTCTCTTGGGTGATGTGATCATGTCGGCGCCTCAGGAGTCGGCATGATATAGAGTTGCAAACCGTAACTCCAAATCCAAACTGAAAGTCCATGAGCCGCAGGAACTGAGGTTCCGGATTCTCATGGAAGTGTAGGGTTGAGCTTTGGTGTCGAGATCTTAGGGTTGGTGGGGGTGAATCTAACAGAGACCTGAGAGCCCTGTTGTATTCAGCTTCTTTCGCGGATCTCACTGTGCTTTCAGGCACGCCTGGGGCTGGAAAACCACCGTCAGCTTGTCAAAGACACCGAGCGGCCTTGTGCTCCGGGGCGTCGGGTCTTGGGTGTAGAGCTGAAGGCCCAATTTGAGGGCCGCTGTCCGTATCTTAGGATTTAGGGCCTTTAGGGTATGTAGCTTCGTGTTCAGATGTGGTTTCAGTCGGTGTAACAATCACACTGCTTACAGCTGATTGAAGGTCTCCGAACCGAGCTCGAGGTCCCAGCAAAAGCTCGTGCTTCCGCCAAGACTCCTCCACCATCTTCTTCATCCTCAGTAGTTTGAGCTTTAAGCCCTGAATCCGAGCTTACTGGACCCTCGGTCCGCTGCACTCTCTCAGCTCGGGATGCGACCAGGCATGGCTTTCGCGGTCGACCTTCTGGCAGGCCACACCTGTCGTAGGCTTGAGTGGGAGCGTGCTTGAGCTGTCGCATAATGCATCATAGCATTTACCCAGAAGCTTTGGATATACGAAGCCCCGTGTTTCGCCACCGCGTCGTTTGAGCTTCCAACGGCCAGCTACATCCTGTTTTGTCATATGCCGAAAACCTTGCACTGTCTTGCCATAGATCAGCTGCCCAGACAGAGTGCACAGAGTGCTTCTGGTTCTCTGCTTCATGACTGCAGGTTTGCCGCTGCGGGCTTCTGTCTTTGAATAAAAGGACAGGATCCTAACGTCTGCGGACAGGTGACGGAGTGCTACCCAAACTAAACTTGGACATTTGGGAGTTTGGGAAGAGGATGTTACCCTGCTTGCCATTTCAGGACTTTTGAATAAGCTCCTGTTTCTTTGCTGGTACTGGATCCGCATCAATGAAGGAGATTCTCAATCGAAGCGAGCGCCCGTCCTAGAGCTTCGGGAAGGCGATCCGCGAAGTGCACTTTGTAGTCCTTGCCCACCTGGGCAAAGCCAGACTGTGGCAGACTCAGGCTGTGAAGCTTTTGCTCCCTTCCACCTTCTTGAGGATGCTGTCCACAACGAAGAGCAGCGGCTGTATCCTCACTGAAAGCAGTTTCAAGGGACACTGTCCACACCCCACTTCAAGGGGCTACGCCCCGCCNNCCCCCCCCCCCCCCCCCCACTCCAAACTTTTTGGATCCTGTCAGAGCTGGCTCCATGGATCTCTTCGGCAACTGCCTGTCGAGCACGGCATGGGCCGCTGGTCAAAAGTAAAAACCCCTCCTGTTCCGACCTGCACCACCGCATGGGAGTTGCTGTAGAGGCTCTGCGCCAGGTCCTGCGCGAGGCAGCCAGCATGGAACCATCCCTTTTGAATTCTGAGCACCCTGCTTGAAGTCTGCTGCATGTTGTTACATCCCGGATTTACAACGCGTCAGCACGTCGCATAGTCTAATCCTGTGGCGGATGATTCTTGCGTCAAAACCCGGCGCACCACATAATGATACATAATGACAAATGACGATGACGGTGTTGCGCTTCAACGGATGCACTTTTGCCAATGTTCTACCAATTAAAAACGCATCGCCTTTTCTCAGTTGGGCGTGACCAAAATGATTAGGCCGAATCTGTTGCGAACTCCTTGGATCTTTGGGCTGCTGGACCTCACGACAAATACATGTTAATCGCATGCTGGTCCTTCAACGCTGCTTGGTATCGTAAATTGTAAGATGAGACTTACAGGCGCGAACATCCGTGGTTTAATTTCGGGCAGGGTGTGAAGTCAAGCACATGCCTTGCATGCTGCACCTAGACTAAGGTTGAGGTCAAGAAACCCCCTTAAGCCCTGACACCGACAGATGAGCTCCGGTCCGTAAGATTCTTGATCTTCGATTGGGACTTGGTGTCTAGATCCTGCACAACGGCTTGGGCTTGGAGCTGTTGTGGTGCGAGTCACGACTGCAGACCATGTGCTTGAATCTTGAACGTCCAACCTTAATCGCAGCTCTGAAGACCTCCACACCCGCTTGGCCTTCTGGCCTCGTTGGTGCAACAAGGACTGTGTCCAGGAAATGCATCGATGGACAAAGCCGTCGCTCAGATCCCGACAGCTCCTGCGGAAGAATCCTGTCCAATGGAGCTTGCATTCGATATGGTAGGGGCATGATGAAAGATCAGCAACTGGGCCAGCGGACCCTTCCCGCTTGCGCTTGGCATTGGTGTTCATCACATCCAGCGCATCGATAAGTGTTCCGAGGGTGATAATTGTCCCACGCGATGGGTCTAGGGGGTGTCTCGGGGAGACATCTGTTTGCCATTTCTGCTCCTCTCTGGCAGGCCCGAGTCGCAAAGGGCCTCCAACTTGGCCTATCCATGAGGGTTTTCCTAAGCGGGGGACTCGGCAGTGACTAGCTTCAGTGACTAGCTTCAGGCCCCTTCTGGCTCGCTGGCTCATAGCTGACCAAACTAACAACAGCTGCAGAGAGCTCTCGTCATGTGTGGCATAGGGGGAAGCGGCCCGGACGGAGATCTGTCAAGCAACCGATTTTTGAAAAAAAGTCGGAAAGCCATAGACAATCCTCGTGTGAGACATGTGCTGGTGGTATGTCTTTGACCACCAAAGCAGCTAGCTGCCATGTATTGCTCGGCCAGGGTCTTTGTGGTCTCTGTTTCAAACGGCTTGCGAAGATGCACAATTCCAGTGGAGCAGCACAGGCCGCTAGCGTCGATGAGTCATTTGCTGCGTTGGCACCCGTCTGCACAGAGCAGAGCATTAAACCAGCTTCTCAGGATTAGAAAGATCCTGTGAACCCTAAACCCTAAACCTTAAACTCTTAAACACTAAATCCTAAACTGCCGGGGACTTGTTTCAGCTCTGCTTTCAGGCTCGCTGCCCGAGGCCACGTCGCCGCGGTGCGAAGGCGAAGTCGGCCATCTGAGCTGCGCAGATTCATATAATAAATATGTATATATATATATATATACATATATATATATATATATATCCCAGCCCTGGCAACCTCAAATTTTGAGTCGCCTTTGCTGGGCCCTGGGCCTATAGAATATAGTCTTGTAGGGCTAGGCTAGGATCGCACTATCTTGTACCTCGAAGTCAGCCTCGAAACAGCCTCTGCGCAGCAAAGCTTCTTGTAACCTTTCTCCCGCGCCTTTCTCGATCGCGGCTGCACACCTGACTGACAGAGCAACCGGAAGTGGATCATTGGACTCGACGCACCACATGTTCAAAGCACGTGTCATTCTTTCGGGGCCAGAATTACTTCACGGCCTAGCATTCTGCATCATTCTGCCCAACATGTTGGCTGGCCTTTCGCCAACGTGTCGACGGTGTCGAAGAATGTCCCCAGAGCTGGTCAGGACGAAGATGTGAAGTGTTAATGATACGCTCTAAGCTCAACTTCCCTATAGTCTAGAAGACAACTGCATGCCGTGCTCAGAAAACTGCACTGACTCGACACTGGCAGCAGCACTCCAGGACGCAGGCTCACAACTGCGCCGATGAGGTCGCTGACCTGTCACCCAAGCCCACCTCTACAACACAGCTCTCGCAACTTGTCTTCGGATAGCAGCCTGAGCTGTTGCGAACGAAACACGTGGAGCGGACGAGGATTTGTTCAACATATCGTCTGCTCCAAACCAAAACGCCAAGGTTGTCGACTGCTTTTGCAGCAAGGAACGCTTCAATCCAGAATAAACGATCTTCTCTTCTACCCATCTGCAAGGCCAGAGAGCAGGGAAACAAACCCCGTCTGCTGCCAAAGAAGTTTCGTACCATATCCACTCCAATGCCAACACCTCTCTGCCCTGTGATGTGTTGCATGTTAGAGAGAGAGAGAGATATAGATAGATAGATAGATAGATAGATAGATAGATAGATAGACAGAGAGATAGAGAGAGAGAGATAGAGAGATAGATAGATAGATAGATAGATAGATAGACAGATAGATAGATAGATAGATAGATAGAGAGAGAGAGAGAGATAGAGAGAGAGAGATATATAGATAGATAGATAGATAGATAGATAGATAGGCAGATAGATAGGTACACAGGTAGTTAGATAAGATGAGCTTAGACTCCGACTCAAAATTCATGACTCGACTCGACTCGGCTAACTAGAGTAGACATAG